GTATAGAAAGACGAATTCTGCATAATAATAATAATCATAGGAAAGTATACAATGAGACCATTTATCTTTGGTACAAGGTCGTCAGAATTAATCTCGACCATTGGATATGAAATTAGATGGTTCTATTTATTCGATTGACCAGCTCAAACTTAAAAAGAAATTTTTCGAACTTTGTGACCCACCCAAGCAATCAGATTTCACATCATATGGTTGTAAGTAATTGTGACCTCCTTATATTAAAAGTAAATGGTCTCATTATATACAATCCCGCAATAATAATAATAATAATAATAATAATAATTTCAATTGAACACATTCTAAAGTATAGAAAAGATGAATTCTGCATAATAATAATAATAATAGGAAAGTATACAATGAGACCATTTATCTTTGGTACAAGGTGGTCAGAATTAATCTTGACTATTGGATATGAAATTAGATGGTTGTATTTATTCGATTGACCAAGCTCAAACTTAAAAAGAAATTTTTCAAACTTTGTGACCCACCCAAGCTATCAGATTTCACATCAGATGGTTGTAAGTAACTATGACCTCCTTGTATTAAAAGTAAATGATCTCATTGTAAACAACAACAACAACAACAACAGAAATAATAATAATAATAATAATAATAATAATAATAATAATAATAATAATAATAATAATAATAATAATAATCCAAATCTACTTCCATCAGCTGTATTAAGTATTTGTATTGTTTTACTAAAATATTTTGTAGGAACTAGACCTTCATTGATGCAATTTAAGTCTGCTCCAGAATCTATCAATGCTAGAGATTGAAAACTGTATTCATTTTTTATAATAATTTTTACTAAAGTAAACCACTTTTGAGTGATTACTCTCTTGATTAGATTTACATAATTATTGTCTTCTATTGTTTTTGATGATTCAGGCTCAGTAACATTTTTGCCTTTTAATAGTTTATCGAATTCTAATTCATCATCATCATCAGATAGTTTTTCCGAGAATTCGGTATGTAATACTAGGATTTTAATTCTATTTTTTAACTATTGAACTTCTGATTTTACTTCATTAATTTCTTGTTTTAATTCTGAAATAGTAGGTTCCCTTTGAACAACTTCTCTTTTGCTAATTCATTTCAATATTTCTGAGAAACTATAGTCTTCAGATGGTTTTACTAATGAAATAGACTTATTTTTTTATTTTGCTATTGTTATATACTGAGCTATTATTTCTCTTTTCTCATCAGGGTCAGATATTTTATCTATTAGATCTAGTATTAAATTTTCTTCATTAGTAAGAGTATTACATAAACAATGTTGTTCTTCTGAATCTGAACTGCTTGAATCTGAACGAGTCCATATTAAACTCTCATCTTCTAATTTTTCTAAAAATTGAGAATCTGAACTTGATGATGAATTTTCTGTGCTAGATTCTTCATTTATTAAGATAATATCATATATTTTGGATTTTAAATCTTCATCTAAAATAAGAGCATCTATTTTTCTTTTTATTTTACAATTATTTTTGTAATGACCTATTTTACCACACTTATAACAGACTGGCAATTTCTTTTTTCCTTTTTTATATTTAAAAAAAAAAATTTGCAAATTTTTTTGTTTTATTTTTCTTGAATTTCTTTTGTTTTTCTGAGTCATTTCTTTTATTTATCTTTCTTTTATTTATCTTTCTTTTATTTTTATATATTTTATTTGGAGAAGTATTTATACTATATCCGAACTGCTCACAAAAATCTCCTAAACTCTTTCTTTCCTGTCATTCTCTGCTTATCTAATTGTTTTCTTAATTTAAGATCAGTGCACAAGGCTAATCCTTCTGCACAAATTTCAGCAGAGAGCTCGCCTATTGTATAAGCAGAATAGGGTATTATTCCCCCATTTTTATTTTTGAGCTGAGTTTTGACCTTTTCAGCAAAAAGAGAAGGTAAACCAGCAATCAATTTTTCTTTCCAATAGTCAGCACTACTATCTTCGCGTGTTAGTAGTCGTGAGAAAAACACATCTTTATACCATTTATAATGTGATAATATAGGACATCGTAAATTAGATAACAGATCCTCAGTTCTAGCTTCTAATAATGATGTACTACCAATAAAATGAAGAGTTATTGTGTATATAAGTGTATTAACAGCGTCACTTTCGCTGTATGGTATATCTTGATTTTGTTCATTTTTTACACTCTATTGCCGTGTGGCATTAAGGATTTGATTTTTGGCGGTTTCATTCATATAAAAATCCCACCATCCGCGAAGCCATCCTGTGAACCTACAGACTATGGCTTTGGCGACTTATTGATCATGGTTGCCGGCTATTTTACAGGCGGATGCATACATTGTCATATGCTTCATTGTATCAAGTATTTGATGGCCGGACATACCATCAATATTCCAATTAACTATAGTTCTGCCTGAATAGGAGACTGTATGTGATATTAAGTCTTCTTCAAATTGAATATCTACGGGTGTAGGTCTGGTATGATACATTCTAGCTTGTGCTACGGGTCTCCATTTAGATCCGTAGGATATTCTATCAATATTTTGATTATCTTTAAGTTGCATACTTTCTTTGAAAGCACTTTCTATATTTTCAATGGTATTTTCAGTTACTGGCTCTTCTTGAAGAGTCAGAGCTTCGAATTCTTGGAGTATTATTCCTTTTCCTCTACTGTCTTTTATTTGTAATTGAGACAATTTTGATACAAGTTGAGATATGAGTTCTTTGTTATCTTCCTTTTCTTTTAAGTAAATCTATTTTTATTTATTTCTGGAGGTGGTTTAAACAAGACTGATTTTTCTTTTCTTCTATTTTCTCTTGAGGTTGTCTTATTATGTTTTCTATTCGAGTTGTTTGCTTGCCTATGGTTTGTAAGCAAAGATTTGTATAATTATTTTGTTCGATAATATGCGGTAATAATTCTATTTTATGCATATTTTCGCTAGGGGCCATTTTATATGGTACAGCTTTGGTTTCAGTGATAGATTTAACATCTGTATGATCGCTTGAAGTTCCTTTTATTAAAAGAGATTTCTCAGGAGGGTGTATACTGGAAATATTTTCTCCACCACTGACCTGAAATGTTTGATACTGAGATTCTAGAGCATTTATTCCAAAATTTGGGACAGGGACATCCTTTTCCCTGAGGGTCATAATTAACCAATCAAAGAAACCTATAGTTTGTTTATGTCTTTTTAGAAATTTATTGTATCTTTTATGAAACATGTCTATTAATTTTTGTGAAAATTCTTTTAAATACCAATTTCGAATTTCTGTATTTTGTTCAGATAGATAATCATTTCTTAGAAATTCATAATCTACCTTTTTTGATGTTTGCAGTGTTAAAACATGAAAATCTAAATCTGAAAAGGAAGTATCTGAAGAGCTTGATTCTATTTGTTTATATTGGGGAATATGTATATTGCTTCTTGTTCTAGTAAGTCCTTGGATACTTGGTTCTCTTCTAATTTCATGGGAAAGTAGAAGTAGATTGTCTAGCAGGTATTATTGTAGTATTTAATTTTAAAGTACTATTTTTAACATTATTTTTTCTGGCTTTCCCACTTTCGAATTGTAATTCTACACTTCCATCAGGGTATTCTATAATTTGCTCGGGATTGTTATTAGCAGGAGTTTTATATTTCTGATTTTCATTTTGTATAGACCAAGTTTTGGGTAATACTATTTGGGACCAATTTAATGTTTGAGGGACTATTGTATTAGATTTTTCTACATTTGTTTGGAAGAATATTGTCTTTCCTTTAGTATCAACATGTAATACGTTAGGGTTTAAAGTGTTCATTACTTTATAACAAATTCTATATATTAGAGCTATATTTTGTGATCCTGGGTTCATATCAAACCCTTGTGTTTTTAAATTAAGCGATAATACTTTAAGGATATTTGGATCACTAAGTGATACAGAATAGTTAGGAAAGCAGTTAAAGTATACTGGACCGCTACAGAGACTAGATTCTACTATTCCTAATAAAGAATCATTAAATTGATTATGCCTACTATATCTTAAACATAAGAGTATAGAATTATTTAGTCCTAATCTTGTTAGGGGTTTTATTGCAATTTGTATTAGTCCTATATGTAAATATTTATATTCTTTTTTAAGATGTGATTGAATTATTTTAATAATAATAACAATAACAATAACAATAACAATAACAATAACAATAACAATAACAATAACAATAACAATAACAATAACAACAACAACAATAACAATAACAATAATAATAATAAATAAATAACAATAATAAATAAATACAATAAGAAAACTATGAAAAGCTAGTGTTCAATATTAAGATACTTAAATTCTTCCACAGGAAGATGTGATGTTGAGAAGTGTTCAACATGATAAGAATCAAATTGAGGAAGGGCAGTAAAGTGTATACCAAATTAGAGCAAACAACAACTATTTGCTTCTCCAATAGTGCCCCTGCAAACATCGCTAAGATCTGCAAGAATCAATAGGATTCAATATTACTAGCTGACACAATAATCTTTGAGGAATAACTGCAATTACTTGAACCACAGCTACCACTAAGACAAAATGTAACAACAACAAAACTTAACAAAGAGTGAGTATCATGAAAATTCCAATGATCCAATTGCATTCAAATTTCTTCATCTTGGATTTTAGAGATGAGATCTGCATCTACAAGTATGAAACTTGGATGAACACAAAAAAAAACTCCAAAATGTCCAGGCAAAGCTATGCAATTCATAAATATCTATGCAATATAACTGCTTTCAGCTTAGAGCTGCAATTCATCATGATATGCATAGCAAACCCCCTGAGAAATTATTTCTATAAAAAGGATTCTGATAACAAATACAAATGGAAGAAGTGAATATTAGTACAATCTGACACAAAATAATTCCAAACCTACATAAACTGCCTATAGATACCAGAAATCCATTAATACTCCATTTTGAGGAAATATGGTCCCATCAATATGATCCTCCAAAATTGACACCTTCCAGCTTTGGCATCAAGTAATTATTATATATATTGGAAGGTATACAAGCATGTGCCGCAAAGTTCACCAAAATAGCATAGGAAACAAGTGTAAGATAACTTAAAATTTGAGAGGAAAAGTAGAGAGAACATTCAAGTTAACCTAGAAAATCCATCAGAGCACGCCAAGACTACATTGTACTCCATCTCTGATATGATTAGAGTTGTAAGTGAATAATGACAGCATAAACTCTCTGAAAAATGAAAAATAAATTTCAGCAGAAACCCTGGACTTTGAATTCCTAGAGTCCCAGTGTTAGGATATTATTCACAAACATCATTATGAATAGTCATTAAATAAGTATTGTTACCTCATTGGCTGTATACAAAACAAATCAGCAACAGAGTCTATAAATCATTTCTTCTCAGAGATGAACAAATCAATATTCTTTTCTTGGGAAAAAAGTACACTGACTGGTTTCACATAAATAGAATAGATCATGATTCTAAACATCATCAGCAATCTTACATTTTCAAGCCGTAAGCTACCACATATACTTGCAATAGTCCACACAGACAAAGCAATTGCCTCCTCCTCCGAAAATAGCGCATTGTGTGCCTGAGTAGAGCTAAAAATAATTAGAAACCAATGGAGCTTTGGCTATAGTTCTTATGTGTATATATTGCTTTTGTATAATTAAACCAACATATAAAATTATTACAATCCATGCTTGTAACAATAGCAGAATGCCCATTATTAAGCTTCTTATGAACAATATTTCAGATATCAAGTTTACCTCAGCTATTTCCAAGCTCGTACTACAGGTATTCGTATCAATGGATGTGCCAGCAATTTGCAAAACACTTTCACATGATCTATGAAATTTCAAAGGATGGAGGTGCTCTAGCGGGTGAAAAGTTAAAGAAGAACCTCGTTCGGGACAATGTAAGTGGTAATATTCACAGATGATCCTTAATGATCCACAATGAGCATCCTGAAAAGTGATCGAAGAACATAATGATTGGAAGGAGCATCCATGCATGCAATAGTGAATAATATGATAACCTGCAAATCAAACAAGATTACAAATTTCAAAAGAAGATAGGTGTAAAGAAGATAGGTGTTTTAACCTTGGCCAATTCAAGAATGTCATCATGATCACTAAAATGTTCTCGACCAGAAGAAGAGGCTTCATTCCTCCCTATTTCATCTACATCACACCTAAAATTTTGGTCTCCACTTGGGGAACCTTGGAAACTGCATAAGATCATGAATCCAAAACAGTTACAAATCCATGTCGATCAAATAGTCATGTATGCAAGCCAAATATTACGGTTACATGCTGCAAATATAAACATGTTATATTTGTTGATTTAGAGCTAATGTTGATCATCCATCACTTCAAAAATAACTATACTTGTAAAGGGGGGACCATCATAATATACCAATGTATTTAGAATACTACGGTCCAATGGTTTCCAATGACATATGCGCTCCTACAGATTCTCATATCAGGGAATAGTTGATCAATTACTTCCAAGAAAGTTAAGATTCAGAGAATAATATGATAATAACAAATACTCACCTGGGAGAGGAATCAGAACTTTCACACTGCTGGTAGTGAAGAAGAGGCAAAAATACCCCGGGCAAGCGTTTGTCAACTGCATCTTTACTTTTTGTGCTTTCACCATCAAAGCTTTGATTTATCTGTAATGAGACCTCGCACTCCTTTTTACTCCCCTTTTCATCTGGTTTTGCTTTAGGACATCCATGAGCAATTAAGTGTCCATTGGTGCCTTCCCCTTTTACATACACATCTCCCTCCTCCACGTTGGGATTTTCCTCACTAATATTGTTTTCGGTTGCAGAAGCTTCGTCATTTGTGGGTGAATTTTCCAAGTTGCCAACTAGATTATTCTCTTCAAGGTCATGGTTTGTGGAAACATCCGCAAATTCCTCAGCCTGTTCATTACCTCCATTCCTTGCTTCTTCCATAAACACAAAATCTAGCTCACCCATGCCTTCAGTTAACCGCTCCAGCCTCTCCTCAGTAAAGATGCTGCATGACACCAGAAAAACAATATTAAATCCCAATATTCCAAAAGACTAAGCCATTAATTCAAGCTTTATTCAGCCAAAAGTCTATAAGATAGACCAACAATACAACAGCCTCAAAATTCCAAAAAAGAGTTATTAATTCAAGCCATATGCAACCAATTCCTTCAGCATTTATCATATGGCGCAATTGTGTAGAACATGCACAAGAATTGCACACTTATATGGCCAAGGTGATAAAAACATGCTATCATAGTCCCTAGAAACGAAAAGTTAATAATCAAACTATTTGATTAAATAAAACCCATTCGAAGGCAACTAAAATAGAACATAGATTATTATGAAGCCGAGAAAGATTGAAACATTCAGAGTTGTATGGTGTCTTACTAGATTGTTATCTACTGTGCAACTTATTAATAAGCAGAAATGCAACTAAAAAATAATAAATTTAGAGAGAATGCAGTAACACAATGGTTTGCCATTAAAAAAATTCCAGTAACACACTGGTGCATTTAGAACATATTAACCAGAAAATATGTGCAATATATATTCACACCTAAAGCCACGGACATCAAATGTCAAAGGGAAGACTTCAAGATAAAAATCTGAGTCCAATAATATTCAATGATTACGGTTCTGTATGGCTACTAAAATATAAACCTGCTAACCTTTTCAATATCCCAAAATGCAAATCGAAGAAAGGCAATCTAGAGAGAATGCAGTAACACCGAGGTGCAGTTAGAACAAAACGGCTCGAAGATGGGCGGGGATTGTATTCATCTGAAATCACGGAAATCAACCTTGAAGGCTTTTGTATGATTTCTTCCACTAAAACACAGCATCCATAAAGAGTTGAATCATCAGCAACCTGAAAATCAAGGCCGCACAAATAAGAACCTGCATCTTCCAAGAATTGTCAGACATCACTGAGGATGTTCTATGCACGAAATACAAGCATAATATGCCAGGACTAAAAAAAAATTTCCAACTAGAAATTCAAATATGCGTGCATATGAATGAAAGAAAAGCCCCTAGTATTTCCCTTCATTTTCCTCTTTTGTTCATTGGCAGTTCCATTCTCTGCATAAACTTATACGGAAGTAAATAAAGTTTCTAAAACCAGCATAAATGCTGGAAAATGGAGCTCAACTGTACAAGCCTAAGGCCTCATGAACAACAAATTTCAAGATTCAGCAATTGATAAATAAAGTTAACCATAGGCAAGGTAGAGCTTAATCTAGGTTGTTAACTGAGTATTCCCTAGTAGACTACGATGACTGATTAGACAAGAGGGTAATTAACTCGAAATCATCGATTCCTAAACTCAAAAATCTTAAAACATCCACAAAACCAAATATCTAAATAGTACATCCCAGAAAGGATATTTTCAAGAGAAACATCATTTGAAATTAAAGGACAACAGGAACACTATGAAGTACGGAGAGACATACATAGTGAGGAAAATTGGGAGTTAAAATTTGAAGTATAAGCTTGGGTCATAGATTTTGAAGGCTTACCACCATACAATGGGAGAAAAAAAAAAAATAGTATTAATCAAGTTAGAACATTCAGGTGTACAAAAAATGAATCAAGTGAAACAACTGAGCAACCATCAAGCAATGCCTTCTAGCTGATGGTCAGTGACAATGTGTAATTGTATGAAACTACATAGAACATTTCAAGTGGAAGTATAGTTCCAAACCTTACCTGCAAACGAAATACAAATGACAAGTCACTCTGTTTAAGGTGTTCCTGAAAATGAACATGCCAGAAAATCATTCAACAGGACAATTCACTTCGATAACATCCATTTTACGGCAGTTTTTTCATGCATTTCATGCATGAGTGGCAGAATGCCAATCTACTAAAGATTGATCGTGAAACACCCACCATAAGCCTACGCAGGAAACCAAGGCCAGGTTATGCAGTTAACTTTTTATTATTAGGAGGCAAGCTCTAGTTTACTCAAACCTACCCAAGAAAGGGGAAAAAATAATAACAGCAAGGAGAAACAGCAGATCATAAATTACCTGCCCAAGAAGTATTTCATTCAACTCACTCATTGAAGGAGTTTTCTCCATAGCATGAACCTGATAATGAAATTATTTAGTTTCTGAAACAGCCCACATTATTACCAAAACTACAAACAACGGAGAACAACCAATCAACCAAACTAAGATACCAAATTCATAAAATAATAACAGCTCATGAGTACAACCTATTAAGTTTCTCATGATATAAAAAGGTTATTTAAGTATCCTAAACGCAGAAAGGTACTTGACAAGCTAAAGAAATGGTAGCAATCAACAGAATGTCATGTTTGCAAAAATGTGTTAATAATGATGAGAGCTCTGAGCATGGGGACAAGCCAAACATAGGCCTCCCTAAATGCAACCCCTTGAATTACATATATAAAAGTGTTCAACGATGACATTTACTCCTTTCCTTTGATAGCCCTATAACCCAACAATGCAGATTTCTTTGACAACAACAAAAGTTCCCACAATCCTAAGTGATCAACCAGCAGTAAATGACATTAACTCTCAATATCACATTCAAAATATGGATCAAAATCAAATAGCAAAAAACAATAACATAGAAAGATCATCGTGACTCGAGATAGTACCTTCAAATATATTGATAATAAAGTGTTCACTAAGAAAGACAACAACAATGATTATAGTAGTCGTTATAAAAAGTCAAGCTAAGTCAGCCAGTCACCTCAAGTCCTCCAGGAAAGCAAAATGAGAGAAGATCCTTATATTTGAGTGGAAGCTGCTTCTTAGGAGGATAGACAAACAGCACCTGAAAGTTACAACAGAAGAAAAATGAAATTCACATATAGAACCATAGAAACTCTAGAAAACCGGAGAAAGAAAAAGAACAAAATTTAGCAAGCAAATCAACAACAAACAAGAAACATTAATAGTCTTTCAACAATAATTTAAATATTCTTGTTTTCAATCGAAAAAATAATTCAGAAAGCCAGTGTCACAGATATGCAATTAACTACTGGCTTCATAGATTTGACTAAATGATAAAAATGAAAGTTCTCATGGAAAGAAATGAAACTTGAAAAATAAATCACCATAACACAAATATAACATATTTGCTATTACTATGGCAATGATAGGGCGAGTAACCATCAAGAAAAAATAAGAAACCACTAAAAAAATATTCAGAAAGTAGATTTCTTTCTCAGCAATCATAATTGATACCTGAGGTTCGAGTTTAAGCTCAACATTGGTTGGTTGTTGGTTGTGTAATACACTCCTCCATTTCCTTATACCTTCTGTATTCTTCTCAAACAGCCTCCTCTGCAATGCTTTAACATCGGAGTTGGGATGAAGACCAACAACTACCATGCTCTCAAATAATCGAGATGGCTCTTTCAGACACTTATGATCCTGCATATTACAGATAATTAGTGCACATGACACATATTGCAACCATGCCACTGATAGCTCCAAAAAAATGCTACAAGACAAAAAAGAAACACTAACCATTATTAGGAATATATCATGGTTCCATACATTCAAATAAAACATGAAATAAAGTAAAATAAACTGATTCAGATTTTAAAACCTTCACCTTCATAGAAGACAAGATGGCATCATATGAGTAATCATGCATCATATCATTTGAAGGAGCGCATAGCTAAATTATTCAAATAAATTACTCAAAACTGAGAGTTGATTTTATAGAAATCATATGGTGCAGGAAGAAACCTATTCAAAATCTTGAATAGAAGCACTTCAACATGTCCAAAAGATGTCATCTCACAAGTTATTCTATGCTTATCTTTTCTTTTATTTTTGATGGCTAGCTAATGCATTTTACATATCCCATAAATGAGTCACAAGTATACAAATAAACAAACATATATTATGAAACAAGAGTAAAGGGAGTGGCATCGAGTTCCAAAATGTAACACCCTCTGACCACCCATTTCTTGAGCCAAAGAGTAAGCAACCATGTGGCGCCCCTGAGGACTAAAAAAAAAGAGCTCTAAAACCAACATCAATAATTTGGTTCCTCCAAAGGAGAAGAAGCCTCATGTGTAATATAATAAGGGATTATAATAAGTGAGTGGCCTTTCACCAGGTAATTGTTCATAGAATAAAACACTAGGAAATAATATCAGGGCATATCTACAATGATAGAAGGTAAAGTACCACTCAACAGGCTGTCAAATCAATTCTAGTTTTCAGGTCTGAGAATTATGATCAACATTCTCGTAGATCCAAAAATTGCCACAACAAAAGAAGTTTGGATTTTATTAACACATCATATATGTTATCAAGTTGAATGGATACCAAGGGCCATAAGAAGCACAATGTAGAAGAGGAAAACAAGCAGGAGCATATAATGAAATGGCATACCAAAGACTGCAATTGAAAGCTTGCCCATTGGCGCTTTTGGCTGGTCAGCACTTCGGGGTTATAAGATCTTGCTTTCACTTCAGGAGGTGGCGAGAACCCTTTTAGGACTCTCGTTACCTGACGTTGTAATTTCTCAAGCTGGCTGCCATTATTCTCATCTTTGGTTGAGAAAACCACAGAAGGGCGTGGTGATCGAACAGTTGCTGCTGCAGCAGCAACTGCCTTTGCAACGTCCTCAGTTGTTTGCATGAAAAATGAAGCACTCCACCCTGGGCTATCAGAATCATTGTTTTTAGCCATACCAAAGTGTTACTTGATCATGTCATCGAGGATTCTGCCCTACATGAATGAGAAAGGGTCATAAGTTCATAACAACAACAAAGATTGAAATGCATATAATAGGATCTGTCAGTAAGACACATGGCGTGGCAAGTTCCTGAGTCATGACTCAAAACAATTATAATGGCAGAAATCCCCTATGTATTTAAAAAAAAGAGAGATACACACACACACATATACCTCTTATCTTTGTTTAAAAAAACAAAAAAAAACAAAAAAAGAGGCCAACGACATCTAGAATAATAACTAAGAACCAAATCAAGTAGGTATTCCTAATTTGGCCACCAAATTTGGAAATATAGCTCGCTAGCACTTCATAAGAGGTCAATATTCCAAATAATGAGTAAAGACAACTACATTCAAACACAGAGAGAGACAGATAGGTCCAAAAGGCCAAGCTTACTTTTCATCCAGATGCACCTTTATATATATATATATATATATATATTCCCGTAGAAAGAAGCATATCTCACAGACTGCAGTCCATCCACCCCACACCCCAAACACATAGACACACACATGACATGTGCGCACACACAAAACGGCAACACTCCAAAGGGAGGAAAAAGTAGATAACCTTAATTTTCATACATGAGGCTCAAATTTCATGGCCCAAGTACACTACAGGGACTAAAGGGCTAAATGTAAACATTTTTACAAACATTCCCAAAAGTTATTGAATTTTTTTTTTTAAAAAAAAGTATAGTCTTTATTATTAAATGGGAGAAATATGCATCTTTTACAGTAAAATGGGAGAATGAACCACCATCAAATCACATATACAGCATAAACTAGGAGGTGGTGTATGGCGCGCAACAGTGGCATCCTTCATCCAACACCAGTGACGTATGCCATACCCAAGCACATTTCTGTCAATGGGATTTTCAGTTCATCTCCCCTGTCCATCATCAGGTACACAGGCCAGATATCCCCATTGTACATCACATACCATACACCAGTAGTGTAGGACTCTGTGGTAGTAACATTCCATAATAAAATATAGATATTGCATGAAAATTCAAATATCAGAGGTGATTCTTAGAGCTTTCAAAGTTGAAATTGCATATATTCAAGGCATGTAAATCCTTCACTGTTGTTTTCCCAATTTCGTGCATATCCAATTAGAGGACCCAAATACAGTAACTAGTGTGCATCAAACTAAACACCAATTCCTGAATTGAATCTCTATTCCGAAACAGCAACCAAATTTGTGAAATTAAAACCAAAGTTCATCAATATGATATCAAGCCAATGAGAGCAATAATAATTCAAACACAATAATTAATAGAAACATAAAATATGGAAAAGATAATACAGAAGCCAACTACTAGTAAACCCCGACGTGTAGTATTCATCAAACTGATAGAATTCAAAGACAAAAGCTACCGCAAATAACAATAAAAGAAGCTAAATACTGCATAAAATTCCATGAAACATCAAAAAAAGTAGGAAAAGTCCATGAAATTTGAGTATGGAGAATACCAATAAGCATTTTTAAAGGATTCTCAGCAGTGAGCACAATCAACACGAGGAATGAATTATTCATCGAAAACTCGGCCAAATTAAAACCTGCAAAAAGAACAAAAATTCCCTGCAAATTAGGGTTTGTTTATACTGAACTCAAACTTTAGACAGAACAATAAAAATTTATATATGAAAAGAATAAATATCATCATATTTTAGTGGAAAAATCAACAAAAAATGACCAGAAACAAATGAATATTACCAGACTAATGATCGTCTAAAGAATCCAAAGACGAGGAGAGAGATTAAAAGAAAAACTGATAAATAATAATTTAATGATAAATAAATTAATAAATAAAAAAGGATGCTCCCTTTCTCGTACAACCCGAAGCTTCAAAAGGGGTTGCAGGCTGATGAAAATTGAGGCATCCGATGCACGCCGGGTCAGTGATCCATTATTCCTAAAATACCCCTTACTATTTTCAGAAGGACAATAATGCCATCGTCAATCGGTTAGTGTCGTTTGAAGACATCCGGCATATTATTGGGGTGGCAACAGGTCGGCTCGGGTCAGGCCAGACCCGGACAAATGTATGAGATCTGGGCCTAGATCCTCCCGGACACAACCCAAAACAAAAAAATATGTCAATATTTTTAAATCTTATGTTTAACGTATACATATATCATTTAAATATTATAACTAAAAATATATAGTTATATTTATTATTAAAATATTATATATTAAATATTATTTATATAATAATACTATTCACGGTCAGGTCTACATGGACCTGAACCGAGCCGCAGATAGCACTAGGGTCCAATATTTGGACCCGAACCCAAACCGCTGGGACCCATGTCGGGTCTAGACGTTGGGTTCAAATTGGGTTAGGGTCCATTGCCACCCCTACGTCAAGGTTCTCCTTTCCCTTATTTGACAAGCTTGCGTCGTTTTTTGTGCAACCCAAAGATTTCCTACTCCTTTCGGAACATATCATCCATTTATTCTATCGGGCACAATGTCTACTAGTAAAAAAATATATTTTAACTCTCATTCCATGTCATCGTCATCATCATTGTTATTTTCTTCAATTAAATGGGGTCGGCTACACAAATCATGGTCTGTCATTCTGTTCTATTATGGAGTCATACTCTCAGTGACACCATAAGTCCTCAATCTTTTTTCATTACTTCCAACTGAGTCCTTAACTCTCACTTTATGTGTGCCTAAAACAAGAATTGCAACTATCCAATTTTTAGAGGGAATGATCTAGATGTGCAATAACTCAAAATCTAATTTTTTTTTTTCCTTTGAAAATAATCATTTCACGATAATTAAATGGATCCTGAAATTACAAATAAAAAAAAAATTCCCCGGGTAAGCGTTTTGACTGAGGGAGCATAGTATATGTGAATATGAATAAATAATGGGTGTAAGTGGGCTGGCCCAACCTGTTATGCTAATGTGCCGCATTAGAGGCCCATTTCAACTAAATGGCCCACATAAAGGGCACAAACCCATGAAAGTTTGGGCCTTCCAAGCCCGCTGCGTGCCCAGGTTGCACCATCTTGAACTAAGAAACTTTAATTAGGGGCTTATACCAATGTTCGCAAAATCGAACTGGAATGGTTAACCGGTTTTGGGGCTGGGAGAGGTTTGAACCGGAACCGGACTAACCGGGGCGGTCAACCGTTTTAACCGGTCAAGTAGTTCTTTTTTTAAAAAAAAGGTAAAAAAGCGTCAAAAAAATTTTAAAATTTTTTTAAAAAAAATGAAAAAACTTAGATTAAGTTTTTCATACATTTTTTCATAAAATGGAAAAATGGTATACTATTATATTGCATACATTTATCTTACAAAAAAATTTGAAACAACTTTTTATATAAATTAATATTTGAATACTATGAAGATATGCAAGACAATTTAGAATTTGACATTAATTCAATTAATGAAATTACAAAGTCCAACTAACAATGGTAGTAGTAATGAGATTGGCGAGGGGGATCATGATATTGTTGTGTTTCACTCTCAGGATTTACAGGGCAAAAAATCTGAGTAAAGCTTGGTGGAGTCTGTAATGCCGCAGTTTTTCCCCCTGGCCAGTCATGAATATTTCTTGTGGTATCCCCTTGGCCAAAGTCTCCTAGACTCATCCGGCTTCATGCTCTCCCCCACCCTGTCCTATGTTACCTGCACCCTGTTATGTGTTACCCCCACCATGTTCTGTGTTATGGTCCTCAGTATCTTCAATATTGTCATCATCATGAATAACCAGGTTATGGTGACGGCTACGACTTCGTCTCTCCCTTGTTGAGTAACTCTTAAAACTTCTTGTTCATCAAGCACCACATCATGTTGCGTCCCTTCACATTCATGGATGACTAGTTATTGCCAATTGTTTTCTATTGTCCCATCTGTTTCATTATCCTGTCCCTCGTCTTCATCCTGTGTATAATTGTCATCCATGTTCATTGTCATGTCTCATTCATTGGATACTGCAACATTCACATTATCATCCATATCGGCAATTGCCCCACTAAAAAAATCTTGGTCTAATAATGGGGTCCTTAGTGACACCCACTCATCAGCGAGGTCCCTCCGGAAGATGTAATCAAGGTTGATCAGCGTGTAGTCTATGGGGGTCCTCCTTATATGTTTCTCTCTCAATTTCAAATTATAATGAACGTACACCAAGTTGTGTAGCATCTGTGTCTTTAACCTATTTCGCCTCGGGGCGTGTATCCACTGAACTGTACTCCAGTTTATCTCACAGCCCGAGGCAGCACAAGTTTGACTCAAAATTCTAATAACAATCTTTTGCAATTGCTTTGTTCGAATTTCGTGTATCGTCCACCATTGTGCTGACACAGACAAACATAGAAATACTTGACAATAGAAAATAAATAGATTTTAAAAAAACCACAAATAGTAGTGTACTAAACTATTGCAAGTTTTAACTTAAAACTAACCTGGGTGCAATTTTGCAGCTGCTTTTTTAGCATTGTTGTATGCAAATTCCCCATTTTTTTCCATGTACATGATAAGCTAGAAATAACAAGATGCATATACAAGAAGTTAGTAATACATGGAAATGCAATTCATTATTGTAATTGAAATTTTATTACATACACGATTTAATTAAGGTTTACCTGTTGCATACACTCCATATGAGTTTCAAGATCAGGTTTAAGCCTGTAGATGCAGTTTCTTACCCCCTCCATGATATCTGCATCATCTAAAGTGGTATTGGAGTAATAATTTTGTGGATTAAGAAAGAACCCTACACATAGTTTGTTATATTATTAATTACCGTAACTTTTCTCGGAGTTGAGAAAGAGTCATGAATTACGACAGTGAATCATAAATTACCTGCTGCATGGATATCCTGGTGCAATTGGTCTCTACACCTACGATCAACGATCTCCAATATCTCTTCATTCCATATGTTATTATCAAATATAGCTTCCCTTGAACGTTTCATTGCATCGAACAGAAACCCCATTGCGGGTTTATCATCAAAGTTACTTAACCTCAACACCGGTACTAATGGTTCAGTTATAGAAACAACATGGCTACATTGAGCCCAGAACCTCCGATCGAGAAGGATGGTTTCAACCTGCCTTCCAAGTTGACTCATTGCTGCCCTATCAGTCAACCATTCATTAGAGCGTATCATTGACCTCAATCCTGCCTTGTTTACCAATATCGATTGTATTGTAAGGAACGCTGTAGTGAATCTGGTAGTGGACTCCCTGACAATCTCTCGCATGCAATGCTCCCTCATCAAAACATGAAAATATGTGTGATTGTATATAAACCTTGTAATCAACTTACTCTTCAAAATACAATATTTAACCCTCTTCAGCTTCCTTATATCCTTGAATATCAAATTAATACAATGGGCAGCATAAGGAGTCCAATAAATATTAGGTCTTCTCTTCATTAGCAACAAGCATGCTTTTCGGTAATTCGCAGCATTATCAGTCACTACTTGGACCACATTTTCAGGCCCAACCTCATCTACAATTTTGTCTAGGTGTACGCATATCAGTCTTCCAGTATGTCTCTTTTTTGATAAATCAATGCTAGAGTGGTAAACAATGCCCGTAGGGCAACTTATTAAAAAATTGACATGATACCTACGGGACTTGTCCTTCCAACTGTCAGTCATGATGGTCACTCTTGTACCTGGCCAGCAGACCTTGAACTGTACAATATGCTTATCAACATCACGAACATCAACTTCTAAACATGGCCCTGCAAGCTCCTTTGTAGTTGGACCTCTAACACTTAGCCTTGCCTGTGCTATAGAAACCACCGTTTGTGGGTAGAAGTCTGAGCTTGCAGAATTAAATGGCAGTGCATTAGCATACCAGAACATGTTAATCATCTTTCTCGCTTTTTCTATTAATACACCTGCTGACGGAAATTTTAATTTTTTTTATGATATTATGACTTGTGGGGATCAAGTCCAGAGGGTTCGTGGGTCATTGATAGCACATCTATGGATTCATGTCGTTGAGTAGTAGATGGCCGACTATAAGAGGATGAGCAGTTAGACAAACTACATCTCAATCTACTAGATGTGGATCTAAGCAATGAAGGCCCACATCCTCCCCTACCCGATACTACATGTTCTTGAGGTTGATGGCTACTGGATGCACCATCCCTTCTCCCATATATCCCTTGAATTTCCATTTGTCTATAATTAAGCTCTTGAATACTAGTAATCCTAGCTCATTTCATTTGCGCCTCAAATTCTGCCTCTTGGTCATCTTCCTCATTTATTGGACTTTCGTACCCCCTCCCTATCTCATACGCATCCCTTTCTCTTTGGACTTTTTTTCTTTTTCCTTTTGTAATTATTTTTATCATTTGTTGTTTTACTTCTAGTGGCACTTCTTTACAACCGGTGACATTACCTTTTACCCAAGCAAGATGTTCTTTTAGGCGATAAATACCACCACACATTTCTTTGTTACAAAAATTACATCGAACTCTTCCTTTGTCATTCACTTTTGTACCATACTGCTATGTCACTTCTCCCCTTCTCATCTTATTATTTTCTTGTAAATTTTTCTGAACATAAAAATTCATTAAAAAGATATTTATTTGGGAAATCACTCTAACAAGGTGACCTTGTAAGCATGGATATTTTAGCCCTACTTTCTCATGAAAATGAACAAGTTACAATAACATCCAATAGAAAAAAAAATTATAATTAAGATGACCATGAATCACCATGCCATTCAATTAATATTTCTCAATAAAAAACATGCATGTGTACCTCTAGACCATGAAAGCTGAAAAAGCCATGCATGAGGGGAATGCATTAAGAAATGTGGTGAAATATGTTTTCTAGAGGGCTAAGGTCAAGTAAATCATTCAATGGGAAATATGAACAAAAATAAGTGCCCAAACCTTTCCCACAGCACATAGTACACCATGAAATTGAATAAGAGCAGCAACCTATTAAACAATAAGTAATCCATATAAAGATCCCTCAATTCCTGATGAGCAGTCAGCATTTCATGTGATAGTGACCCCTGCCATGAATATATATTCAAGGTAAAAAGTATTTCTCAAAAGGTTCTAAATGGATGCATCAGAAGGGAAAAATACATCCACTTTCCAAAAGTGGAATTTAATACACTCCTTACTATAAGTTTAAAATATAAA